ACCCCCCTCCCCCTCCTTGACTCGGCCCGATTTTCCGTATATAGTATTATTATTATTGTAGATTTTAATGATCTATATCGATCCGCTGAATTTAATATTAGTTTATTCTTAACGAAACATCCAAGGAGAAGAGATTTTTATTCATTAATGAGATATCTCCAAAACATTTGCCATTCTTTTTATTTTCTTCATTTGTTTAAACTGTATTTATTAAAAATGAACGATTAGAAAGAGAGTATACGCGACTCGCTGTGGTTTATTAGACATCTCTCAGGCATTGCTGGATCTCAGAAAGCTAAAAATGTAATAAATGTATTTATGATTTTATTTTTATTTTTTATTTTTATTTTTTTTTTTTTTTTAATAAGATAGCTCTTACAAATAGTTATATACATATATATAAATATAATAGCTTCTCTTATAACAGACGCCATGGAACAAAACATGGATTTCTACGAGAAAACGGACAAAGAGATTAATATTGTTTTAAGCGAAATAAATAAAACAGAGAGAAAAGATATACATATGTTTGCTCAAATATTTCGACAGGAAATACATGAAAATATGACAAATGTATTTTTTATTCGTTTTTAGAATTCAAATATATATATATATATATATAAATGCTGTAAGAAAATGATAAGAATAATTAGTTTTAAGTTGAACGAAACACGATGCTCTCCTAGTTCTGGATCAATCTATATTTAGCCACTGACACTTAATATGTTGTTTGGTTGCTTTTAATTGAAGTTTTAAAATGAAATTAAATGACATGGAACGAACCGAAATGAAACAAAACGACGAAAGAACTTTAAAAAAAAAAAAAAAACAAAAAACAAAAAACAAAAAAAAAAGAAAAGAACAAACCAAGATATGCTTAAAAATTTTTAACAAAACTTTTGGTGATCTCAAATTTTCATACTAACTCTTAGCTCCTCGCTATTAACTTGGATATGTAAATCCGAGTGTCATGGAAGATTGCAAAAGTAAAGTAAAATAAAAGAAAAACAATGATATTCTAGAAGACAAAAAAATGATAAAATAAAATTAACAAAACACATGATATTATTAATATCTGTTTCGTAAATAGCGATAAATAGGAAACATTCTCTGTTTATCTGTACGTATCAATGATATTTAAGCTTTTACACTTATTGACATAGCCATTAGTAGCAGCATAGCTATGAGATACAGACTTAACGGTTCTGCAACAAGAAGAAAGCAAAAAAAAACAAAAATACGAAAAAGAAAAAAAAATTGTATTATATATTCCCATTTCTTCGTCATTATATAACTCAGTATTTTTATATTTTATATCTTCTTCAGTGTACTTAATTTAGGATACTCTGGTAATATTTGGTATTCTCAACAGTATGAAACTTTTTTTTATTTTTTCTTCCTTATCTCTAACTTTTTCTCTTCCTCTTTATGTCTTTCTCTTTTTCTGTCTTTCTCTTTCTCCATTCTTTTTTTTTTCTACTTCGTCATGCTATGGCAGCCTAATCATATGGAATTGTATGTTAGCTACATCACTAAAAATGGAGCAATCGATATTTCAGTTTTTTTCCTTATTCTATTAAAGATCATAAATTTACACTTTATACTGCTTATTTTTAACATATTGTACGCAAATTCAAATAAAAAAGAAAAAAAAAATTATGAAAAAAATATTAGTTTATACAAATTGTTGTATTAGTAACTTCAGATTATGCGGACTTTTATTGTGTGCGTGTATATTAATTACTACGTTTTTCATTTCCAAGATAAAAGAAAAGAAAGAAAACGAAAACAAAAAACAAAACAAAAAACACAAACCAGAATGTATAGAATAATAAAAATTTCTTTCATATTTCAATTGCACAGAGGCACTTTCCAACACATTTTCTTTGTTTCTTTTTGTTTAAAATGTTTTAGGATCACGTTTGGCGATTAGTCCAACAAAAGTCCAGTTCTTCTCTGCAAAAAAAATGGATACTTGTATTTTATAATATTACAAATGTTGACAATAATATCTCTGTTCAATTATTATAATCGATATTAATCGATTTCAACTAAAATCTCTGATAAAGATTTGCGTCGAAGATCGGGAATAGTAGCGTCCTTTGCCGGATAACCAACAGGTAACAATAAAACGAGTTTTTCGTTAGAGGGACGCTGAAGTAGAGTACGTATAGCTGGGCCGCAATTTAAAGGTGTAGAGGTTAAAGTAACCAGACCAGTGTACTATAACGGTGAAAGGTAACATAAAAGAACAAATTAATCCCATTATTTATATCACAAATGAAATAAAAAAAATGAATATGAATAAACGAAAGCGAGACAAGTTAGAAAAATACAAAATAATACCTGAATAGCGGTTAAAAGAATACCACATGCAATTGATACGCTCATTTCGTTATAATAATGAACCTTTTTTTTTCCATTCGGTAAGAAACCGTAAACCTGTTTAAAAACTAGAATTAAATATGGCGCGACTGTGAGATATTCCTTGATCCAGTTAGTTTTCAATGGACGAAGATCTGTCGTCCATTTAATTCCCATTCTTTTTTTATAATTAATTTCTTCTTCCCTTTCGACGATTTCTCGAATACGAGCTTTCATCGTTTTATTCGATATCGCTAGGAAAGTCCACGGTTCCGTATGAGCGCCGCTTGGAGCGGTACCTAAAAAGGAAAAGCAACACTACGACATGGTCCAAGGATCCATATGGAAAAACCTACATCGATACAAACTTGCCGTCTTTCTGTTTTTATACCTGCAGCTTTGATAATATATCGTATTACTTCTTTCGGTACATTATCTTCGCTAAAAAATCTTATAGTTCTTCTCGCATTGGCTATTTCGTAAAATTCATTGGCACGCCTTAACAATTCTTCATTGTTCGGTTTACTGTATTCGTAAGGCAGGTGCTTTAAGTCTTCCGGTAAAGCCGACTCTACACATATTTCTTCATTATCCGAATCCACTTTGTCCAATTCTACAGATAACAAAATTTCTATGTTATCAAATTTGTATAATTGTATTTGTAGAATTTTTCGATACCTTCGTTCTGTGGATTCTTCCTCGCACCATCTGGATATTTGAATGCATTTGAAATAATTGCAAAAATTCTTCCTTCATTAATTCGTTTAACAATGCTCTCGAAGAAAAAACAGAAACACAGCGTGATAACAATATAATACCAATACTTTGAACAAAACGGAAAAGCCTCAGATAACATTTTTGTTATTTCGATAAAGAACGAGATCATTTCTAACAGCACTAGTAAGTGTATAAACAACAAGTGTGTTCTTTCTACTTTGAAATCAGAAAAGTAAATGAAATTACAAAACTATTCAACGAATGATTCACAATATTTATTTTCTCTAAGTAGTTCACGACAGAAGCGAGAGATTGATAAAAGATTAATCGATCGGTATTATATTTTATCACATATGTTTCGAATTAGCACACCTACAAACATGGTGTATATATAAATACACCATATATATGTATATGAATAGCCATTAGAAAGTTAAACAAAAAGAAAAAAAGATTTAATCGATGGAAAGGAGAAGAATACCTATAAAAAAAAAAAAAAAGAGTAAGATAAAACAATCAATTTTGGTGCTTACGTTAGTCTTGAAGAATCTCTCGTGGCTATTAGTTGAAGCGTTAATCGCTTGGTAGCGCGACGGTCGTTGGCGCGCACTGGCTAATCGAGTCTACGATTGGACGAAGGGTTAGGACCAATAATAAGCGGTTATCGATGATCGCAAAGTGCAGGCGCGCAACACCGAAAAACGCGTGCCATTTATCCGTCCGTCCGTCCGTCCGTCTTTCGGTCCTTCGTTTAATGGTTATACTTGGAAGATCTGCGAGAAAGAGACCTTGAGATTAGAGCAGTTTTTGTGCGAGATATCATGCGAATTTCGCGCGGGTTTCATTGTCCTTTTGGAGTCTTCTCAGCCGTAACTCTCGTCGAGAAGAAGATCGTCGTACGTCGTCGTGAAAGAGGGCGAGAAGAAGAAACAGGAGGAGGTGGTGGAGGAGGAAGAGGAGAAAGAGGTGAAAGAGGTGAAAGAGGTGGAGAAGGAAGAGGAGGTGTAGCCGGCGAACGACGACGACGACGACGACGACGTACGACGAACGCGTTCTTCGTCGTCGCTGACAATTACGTCGCGGACATGTTTGCCTTAAGCTTGACCGGTCATCATCAGTAATTGTGACTACGTTTTATTCCTTTTCATTGAACTTTCGATATATATGTGTGCGAACGATCGAAAGATGTTCCTTCGATAAAAACAAATCGTTTCGTTTGATTATTCACGGCTGTCATTGCGTTTGACCGACATACCAAACGCCAAAGCACTTTTGACAGCGTGCGATTTGTGTGGGCAAAGTAGGGACGACAGAGGGGAACGGGAAAGGGAACGGGAATGGAGAACACCATGCGTCCACCGCTACCACCCCCACCACTCAATACACCAGAGAATGCGAATGCCGAGCAAACTGTCACCCACGTCTTGACGTTTGGTATGTGTTGTTGTTCGATTATTCCTTCATATTTTTTCTTCTCTTTTATGCATATGCTTTTATCCTCTAACACCTTACACACACACACATTTATCTACCTATGCTAGCATTGTACCAACCCTAGCTTTTGTATTTATTATAGAACTGTTGGAATGTTCCAATGAATCATCTTATGCTTTCTCTTTGAGAATAAGAGGAAGAAAATCTTACTTAGCAGCAATGGTATGTATTTATGTATAACAACATATGTGTATAAACGATAATATAGCTTTTTTTCTCTCGGAAAGTTTTAATCGTCGACTCGCATAGGTTATGAAATATATTGAAAATGATGTGTCTATCTACGTGTGATTTTACTCGGCATCGACATCCTCGTGGAAACGACAATTTTTCATTTATTTATCTCTCTCTCTTTCTCTCTCTCTCTCTCTCTCCCTCTCTCTCTCTCAATATTCTACTTAAATTATATAAGATTAGATTAGAGAGTGCAAGTCAATATTTCTTGCGTTTCGTTGTTGCTGCTGCTGCTGCTGCTGCTGTTTATAGTTGCTATTCAATCGTTATTCATATACTTGTATATATATATATATATATAAAGCAAAAAAGAGGAAAAAGCTAGTCGAGATTGAACGTAGTCGTTTTATCCGGCATTAATCCGTGATATTTTTTATTACGACGTAGAAACATTCATGTATTCGACCTTCGTAGGAAAAAGAACACAAATATTCTTAATTTAATCTCTTGATCATTTTTATTCATTCCTACGTCCTATGAAAGTACGTTCGATGTCGAATATAAAAACTATCAGTGATATTTATCGTAACATTTAATATCTCAGGTGTAAATGCATTTTTAATGATATTATTTTTATCTGTATTAGATAATCGGGAAAAATTTGTGGATGGGAAAATGAGTGAAACGTCGACAGAATTTGGGATTCATGTATGCAACGTAATCACGTGTAATTAACTGTTTAATGATTTTGCACATCGAACAACCGCGGCCCATCATATTTCGATGATAAATTAATGCTTTCAGATACGGTCAACCAGGATGGATTCGCTATTCGCTTCTTCTAATTGTCCCTTTAACCTTATTATTTAACTCTCTTTTGTTATCCTTTTAATTAATATAATATTTATTTTGTATATTTTTTGTTTTGTTATTCCAAGTATTATTTTATCGTTACTAAAAGATTGTACGTAAGATACATATAATTAGAGTATGCAAATGGTCAGGTCAAAAGAGAAAGCAGCCAAATAGCATATCTTAAATCCTTTTTCAGGAACAAAGGGCTCATGTGAATTACCGAGTCGATTGTTTCCTCCTTTAGTCGAGTCATAGATTATGGCCTTGGGTTGATTCACTTCGCTAACGAATTTCACCCTCACGGTAAATCCCAGACACACAAACAACTAAATCCATTAACACATATAAACAGATAAATGCATGTTGGCATGCGTAGAATAAACTGGATACGATCAAAGTTCGGTTAAAGAAATTTGTTCGATTCGTTGGTAGGTAAACATGACTCACGTTGTGATTCTTTTTAAACGTAAGAAAAAATATTATAATACATGATCGATTAATTAGACGGAATATTATGGTAAAGTTTTAATAAAGGAAACACGATATATATATATTTTTATTTTTTATCGTTCATCAACGATAAAGGCTGATAACTCTTGATTAATTTTTAATTTTATTACGTAATACAAGGTATGAACGTTGTTGGAGAGATAAGAGACCTTCGTTGGAGTTACTCCTTACTTATACAAGAATCATTTTTTTATGTTCGCACTGACTCATGACCTCGAAAACCAACGAAGGAAAGAGAGAGAAAGAGAGAGAGAGAGAGAGAGAGAGAGAAATCAGCAGAGATTAATTTGGAACGTAGGTCGATTTCTTAGTTCCACCTTTTCTTGGATCATTCAATTTAAATCCATTAATTAAGTATTCATTTTTATCAAGGTTATTATTTATATTATAATTACTCTTTCTAGAGACCTTTTCGATAATTCATTTTCTTTAGATTATAAAGAAACTACAAGTTTAACTTTGAACTTAAAAAGTTTCACGAAGAAGTAATCGATTAAAATGACTAATAAGATACTTTTAATTCACCCTGTATTTATCGCGATGGAGACTACATTTGTGATGATTTACTGAATTCGAAAAATACAAGAAGAGAAGAGAAAAAGAAATCGATTTGAAGTGGTAGCTCATGTTCATAAAGAATGTAAATCTAAACGATTGTAAGATAGTTTACCGAAGTTGGCCCTGAAGATTGCGACTAGCACACGTGTGCAAAATCCTAAATATAGAAGCTCGTGCTAGGAAGGTGTTAGGTACGATTCACGAACGAACAATATAATCATCTTTAACATTGCATAGATCGTTTGTTAAAATAGATTCCTTATTCAATCTATAGAAACTATCTTTTTATGAGCTTATCTTATTGGAAGAATCACCGATGTTTATTGTTTTCGTACTATCGATCATTTTTTATTTGTTTGTTTTCTATAAACAATCTTATTTCTAATCTTCTTTTTTTATCATAGATAAAAATTAATCTACGTTTTTAAAAGTAAGTAAACTTTCGAGATAGTTAAAAGATGAAGCTAACAAGAGACACCATAGAAATATCGCTTTAAGCGCGAGACTGAGGTTTCACAAACAAGGCTGATTCATACTAACTAATACTTTGACTCTCACGGGCAGGGGATTATTAAAACTTTAAACAATAATATAATAGGACAAAGTCCGGAATTTTCTAAAAGTTCATTTTTTATTATGATTTTCGATTATTTTTAGGAAATTTAATCTATCGTTCCAAGTTACATTAAACATTGCTTCAAAGATTTATGGCCTATAGAAACCTAAATGGTTTTTCTTTGAATTAAACAAAGAAATAGAATTTATAGAAAATATAAGACAAAGCGATAGGAATGATGACTTTGGATAAAAAGAGAATAAAACATTGAACAATGGTAAACAAGTTATTTGTTCTTGTTGTTCCTTGTCCTTGATGCGTTTCTTTGGGCGATGAACTTGAATCGAAAATGTTTTCCAAAAATAGGATGGAAAGAATGCCATTGTATGAATAACTAAACATTTCTGAATTTCTCTCTTACTTTCTCTTCTTATATTTAGAAACTAATTAGGACAGAATAATAATAATATACTATTAAATGGATATCCGATTAATTTTGTTATATAAATGAAATTATTTCATTATGTATGTGCATAGATTGAATGGAAACAAATTGAAGCGAAATATTGAAGTTAGTTAAGAGAAGGAAAGAGATTCCACTCTGGTAAATTATTTCAATTATTCCGACACTAATACCAGATATCCCCAATTGAAATTGTTAAACGATGAACTTCGATTTTATTTTCATTTCTATTCGTATTTTTTTCTCTTCCTTTACTCCTCGCTCAATTTACCGTTGACCCTACATCTTTTTTCATTGATTTTATGCAATCAAAATGTTCACCAATGGCGATGAATTACGCAACCCTGATTAATACACACCACGTGGCAGAATAATCTTTCAATATAATAGTAATAATAATACGATGAGATAATAATGTAGAGAAAATAATTTCAAAATAATAAAATTCGTGTAAGTTGCAACATATGTAAGTCGGTGTTTTGTAGTCTACCTGTACTGGAGGAGGGCAGGGAACTTGACACTCGGAAGGAAGAGGGGAACTCTAATCAGGACTGACGAGATCGTTCCTCGTAATGTTCGTTCAGGAAGAAGGGGTGAATGAATATTCATGCTAAGGACACGATCCTGGTTGGTGCCAGTGTTTTCGCCAATGCCTGTGTTTTACCAAAGCCTTTCATATACATAATATATAATATCTATATCTCGTATGTGGGCTACACTATTTTGGGATTTTTTATAAAAATCTAGAAATAAAAAATTAATTGAACTCTGCGAACAATTTGGCAAAGATTGTTGTTTAAATTTACAAGGCCACGTTACACGAATATCGTTTTTTAGCTAAGTTTTTACCATTTTTACAACGTGTTTTTAGACTGTTCTGTTATAAGAGGGTTGACTATACTTCCATGATTTATCGAGTTCCACTCGACTTCGCACTTTATCCCGTCTAACGATAACGTTCTCGTGTTGCCTCATACAAGGCTAGCTGACATTATCGACGATAGAAAATGTCCTTTTCTCGTGTCGGCCGAAATTTGGTTTTTTTTTTCTTCCTTTCTTTTTACCCTGCATTCTGAGCTATTAATTATACCATTTTTATAATAAAATAAGAGACAAAAAATGTTTGAAGGCTGGATGGTGGCGATTCTTCTTTCTAGATACAGTCCTATCATTTTGAAAATATTTATGTTATTTAAATGATTTTTTTATTTCACAATAACGCGAAACAAAGCAAAGATATATAAAATATAATTGAATAATTGTTCGCTTAATAATAACGAAGAAGAAATGAAAAACAAACGATGGAGAGAGGATTTTTAGATACGGGACTGGCGCTTCGGAAATTGCCGCAAATTATGCAACGAGGGCACGGATTCTCGCTTGAGTCGACACTGTTCTCTACGTCGCCGTTTCTCTTTTTCTTCTTATTCTTCTTCTTCTTCTTCTTCTTCTTCCATTATTCTGAAATTTCATTCGCGTTCATGGCCAATCTTGCGACACGAAATATAATATGAAAGAATCACGATCGCCGAGGGATTTTGGTCGTCGTACAGAGAATGCGTTTATTCTACACATATACAATATAGGAGTAATGAGGGTGGGGATGCGATCTTTCGAATCATTTTGCATGTTCAACGCTCGTAAAGGGGACTGCGGATTCGTCGAACAACGTTCATTAATCCTGCACGTACGCGTTCAGGTTTATGCGCGTGGACAGGTGATTTTCATTTAGTCATCTTACTCGGAAATCTTCTACGAAGTATCATTACAAATTTATCTTTTAAACGAATATTTAACGGCAAGTTCAATGTTAAAAAAAAAAAAAATTATAAATTGTATTGAAGAATTATGTAAGGAAAAGGTTCGATTTAAAAATACGCATTGGTGCATACACAACACACAAACACACATATATATA